CTGCCACGTAATACCTTATTAAAGCACCAACAATATGTTGCGCTAAAGTCATAAACCTATACAAAGCACAAGTTTAGTAAAGTGATAATTATTTCGAATTCACTGTAAAAGCTACCACATTGACTAAACTATTATGCAATAAAACAAACTCAACCGCAGAAGAGCGATTTTTATATTTATTAATTTTAAGACTTTGTTTATCAAAAACTTTAAAAATAAATAATTTAACGTTGATTATGAGTTTAAATAATTATCACTGACAGAGATTAATAATTGTGTTGACAACGTGTTAAACACACAAAATAATAACATATGAAATTTCTAATTGATTTATCTAGAAGTGTCCTATAAATTAATTAGATTTAAATTTAAAATAAATACCTATTACCTCACTATTATTTAAAAATAAAAATATAATTATATAAAATAAAATTATTTTCTACAATATCTATGTGAATATACAACATTTTCAATATTGAAACATTCTACTTATTCCCGTCAACTTCATCTCAAGATAAATACTCATTAGCCGAAATTGGTTTTAAATATTTAGGGAAAAAAGATATTATTGAATGTTTTGCTATGAACTCATCTTACATAATTGGGAAAAGATGATATTCCATGGATTTAAGAAATAAGATGAAATTAAAAAATGTATATACGTATTATTATAAAAAGGAAATCAGTTTGTGAAAATATAGTAAACAAATACGAAGGATTAACAATGTATGTCAGTGTGATTGAATTTAACATACCTATGATACTATAAATTAATAATTTTTTTTTTTATTACAAGAAACGATTTAATGCATCGATTTTATCTTAATACCTCGTGAACTACAGTTCAGTGGGACAATGCGTACAGTTTGGAAGCCTAATTGTGTTCAGTGTATAAATAAGCATATAAAATAACCTTGACACGTTATCTAACCTAACGTCGGTTATGTCCGTACTGTTTACTGGACCAAAGATGGGCGCAACAGTGTCGTAAATCTGTCGGGTTACCAAACGGTTACGGATCAAAGTCCAAACCCGATACAAATTGAAAACGTAAAATATCGAACACCGACACTTAAAGGACTACTATAGTAGGCACTCAAGATGAAAGAAACTTTTACGACGGTAATGTTCAAATAGTAAGGCGGCTTAACATTGTTGCGTGCCAATATCAGATCCAGACCTGGGGTGTTATTTAAATGATATTACAACCTAAGAACAATGTTTTATTACGTATAAATTGCTCCTAGTAACTGATAGAAAAGGCCGAGTGTTGTAAGTTGCTCAGGTCTGTGGTTTGGCAATATCTGCCCTTTGCTGGTTCTGGACCCCTTATATACAAAAGAAGTTCTTGTTGCCAGTCGAAACCTTCTGATTAATATTAATTTGAATTGTTTTCACACATCACAACAATCTCCAGGATGTCTTCTGTTCTTAATTGGCAATTCGTGAATGCAATAATAATATATTAAACTATTCTGTCACACGACTGCTATTTTGATATGTTTATTATGATGTTTTAAAACAACAAGATTCATAGAAATATGAATCTACTATCTCGTATATATTATAACAATTATTAGACCACATATATATATCGATATTGCTAACACTTCTAGCAATATTACATATTATACTTATGTTATTAGCATGTCTCGTAGCCCATAACAACATAAAACAATATTCATTTTTAAAATTAAACACCTGAATCAACCGATACTTTCTAGTAGTCACACTTTGTTATGTTACATTGCAAATTTATTTTAAAGTATTACTTCAATTAAAATACAAATAACTCTTCCTACTCTATAGACCAAAGACTAACGTGAGCTCTTCACATAAAATTGCTATTTATTGATATATTTTATAGAAAAGTAACATCATCTGTAGTATTAGAATATTAACATTTGTTACAGTATTTCCCTTTTCTAGGTTTGCAGTTTATAGAACTAAAATTCAAATATAATCCTTTGAAAACAGAACTGTGTTTGATACTATAGTTTAACAGTTACTAGAAGGTGCTATTAGCAACGCAAAGACCGGTTCATACTTATTCTCCACCACTGAAAAATATTTTCGTATAAACAATTATTTGTCATGTTCACACATGGTGAACTATAATAATACGTATAATTTTAGTCACAATATTTATAATTTGTTGAAGATATTGTTAATAATTAAATAATATATTTCTAGAGCGATAAAACAAATTTTCTTTGTCTCAATTGGTCGGATAAATTAAACTATAGGTACTTGTATAGTTTATATAACCAATTACGTAAAATCACAAAACAAAGGATATATTATTTGAATATATTTTATATATTAAATAATTTATATTTATTTTTATTTTCTGTCAGAGCACACAAAATATTATATTTTTAAATAAATATACATTTTGCTGTTGACGTTTTTTAATGTTTTTGTGAATGATATGTAATACTAAACATCATGTAATGTCAATAGTATTTATAGCTGCCATGAGTATGTTAAATTTGTTCAAGAGTAAAAAAATGTTTAATAAACAATAATAAAATAATTATGATTTGAAAGTAATTTATAGTTTTGAGCGTTAATTTATTATATTTAATATGTATAATTCTACAGATTTAAATTATCTAATAAATGTGAATAATTATATGTTTATGTTGTTTACTTGATATCTATCTGATTAAACACAATATTTGTATTCATATTAATATAAGTATATAGTGCCTAAAACCTATATCATAGTAATATTTTATGAAACGCTGTTATTATGTATTTTGTCTGCATAAATACTGAAATTGTAGTGACCTATTAAGGGTATTATTTTTATCTATATAAATATGGTATATTAAATTAGTGTGATTCTTATAATATTATATTGTAATCACGTAGTATATCATAATGGTATAAGCAATTTGCCAGACAATTACATACACACACACTAAAAAGAAAATATATGTGATTTGACTGATTTATCAAATTATAAAACTACAATAGTTGAACAATATTAAATGCGGAAATCGTAGACTCTAAAGGGTTTAAGTGTTGACATTTGGATCAGTTTTTGTCTTGAACGTTAGTCGATAGGTGTTGCGCCGTTACCGATCCTACAATAATCGGCGGATGTTAGTAACGATCATGTGGCAGGATTTACACAGAGAGGAGTAGGTTACCCAAACATATAATAAACAGTATATCCCGTAATGTTAGCTCGAGGCAACATCGATCAAATATACGTACGATAACCCAATCATAAATATTTTTCTTCTTTATGGCCCATTCAGGACTTTAGTATTTCTCGTTAAAACATTACTAACTTTAATAGCTTTCGAATAAAATAGAAATATTGTGGATTCATTATGTATTTGATTTGCTTTCAAATGATCTTTGTCCCATATACTCATTTTAAGTTTCAGTTATTTTAAACATGTATTTTTAGTTATATATGAACTCTTTCATATGTTGTCATAAACCTCATTATATAAGTTTTAATTCGTATCGCTTCATAAACCTACAGAATATAATCAATATAAAAGTTTACATTATGGTTCTAAGGATTGTATTCAAATATTTAAATTTTTGAATAAATACACAGCTATCGATAACCAACTCTCCATATATTTGGTCTTACCTCAATAATAATTCGTGTTTCGTCTACCAAATATTACACTAGTTTGTTGAACTAAAGCATGACCCATTAAAAATGTCTTCCACGAATGATTGAGAATGGTGTGAAATGGTATAGTATCAGATCTTTCATAATTACATTTTAATTCTGAGACTTCATTCGTTGTACTTTGCTACGGTCCACATAATTGGGTCCGAAAATGTATACACTTAGTTACTCCTAAATACCCAGATGGGATTTGTTTTATTGATTTTGAAAATATTAATTTTACAATTTAAATGTTTCTCTTAACACAAAAAGAATTAAATAATTTACAGTTGTACTATAGACTGGTGCTTGGTCTTCAAGTAGAAATTTCCTTTACACTAAAATAAGAATGGTAACTACAGTTATGATCAAACAAATTACTCCCTATTAAATTAACTAAGCGAGAATAAACCATATATTAATCATATAAATTGTCTTTCGAGTTTCCTATTTATAAACAATAGTACATTATTCATTAAATATTTTGTCACTACACTTAACAAATAAAATATATGTTAATATCACAAAGAAAGTTTTTTTTACAAACTGGCTATTGTTATGAGTACTTATCACTCATTGATATATTGTGAAAATACTTTTGCAATGGTCATACTTAACAGATTAAGAATATGAAAAGAACTTAAATAAAATAAAATAAGAGTGAGTAATAACACTGAACTTTTACTCATAATTATTAAAACTGTTCAATAGTATCTTATATCAATTATTATTTTACCTGGGCGATGCATCGTGCCCCATAGCCATTTGAAAGTTGTTATTACATTTGTCGTTCGTAAAATCGTCCCACGAGGAACAACTTACACCCATTAAAGAATTCCTATGTATCACGGAGTCTATATAAAGTTGATATGCTCTTTTCTGGCTGCAATCCACTGAAGCTAAATCAATAGAATATAATAGCACAATGGCTAATTAAATAATCAGTTACCCAGCTAGATGCCTTTATTTAATGTTAACCAATCATGAAAAATAATTTCGTTGATATTTTTTCTATCATCCCTAATATTTAAAGAAAAGCTAAATGCCGATAGCTTTTTATATAAAAACATATATATTTGAGGTTCTATTGTGTTAATTTATTTTATTTAAATTTAAAATACCTTGTGGTTCTAGTATAAAATCGCTTTAAGAATTAAGTTATATACCCGTTTTTAATTCGTGGAATTTAATTTTATTTATGTAGAATACGCTCAAGATAAGTAGTTCATTTGTTATTGATCTCTACCAGAACATAAATTATATCAACAATACAATTCATAGCCACTAACTTATAGATCACATTTTTAGATTAATAAGATCATTACCTAAAGGATAATCGAAGGTTACAGAACATCCTGGTTGATTATACATCCCAGAATTGGGAAAAAAATCAGCGTGGCCCAAACTGTCCATGCAACCAAGATTTCCTCCTGCAGTGTGAATGACGTCGACAAATTCGGCATCATTTGCGCTCAAAGGTTTTAGATCGAGAGTACTGAGGTAATGTCGAATGTTGTTTGGATCTAATCCTATTGAATACAAATAACAAAAAGAAATTATTATGATGAAAATTAAGGATAGGCTTAAGAAATTGATATTTTTACTATTGCTTACTGATTATAATGAATATTTGATTAAATTAAAATTTTTTGTTGAAACATTAATTGTATTTAAACACAAAAAATATAATTTTTTAAATAAATAAATTAGTTTTTAAAATTCCCATTTTTTAAATATTAAGAACATTCATATAAAGGACTAAAAACAGGTTCTACCGTCACGATGAAGTTTACAGATTACGAGACGGAAACCTCAACACCCTACATAAAAAAATCCTTAATCTAACAATGCATGTGTGTAACGTTAATGTTTCTACATTTAAAGTGCTCACCAGTAATTCTGCCGATTTTCCCCTTTTGAAAACGAAAACCACATCTTCCTACTACGTGGACTCCGAGATTATGGCCAATTAAATGTATATCCGATGGTGCGATTCCTGTTTGATTAACCACATTTTCCAAAAATACAGCAACCGCAGAACCAACTGCTAAGGCCAGAGCTGCAGACATTGGGAATCCATAAGGACTATCTGCCATACCTTTCCAATCCACCGTTATTATATTGAATCCCCCGAGGTCGACATATGCTAATAGTTTGACAATGAATATAATATTGTTTTTTGAGATAAGACAAAACGTTGTAAAACAAAACACATTTTATTATTAGAATAATATTAGTTGTTTTATTATACCCATGTTGATATCATATACAGTTTCTTCCTTGTTATCCGTGGATTTTTGTTCCGATCCTTTCCAACCATGAGTAGTAACTTTTAACGGTAAGCCTTTCATCCAGTGCTCATTTATAGCTGATACATTATTAAAATCTATTTTGATTGTATTATCACGTCCAAGAACTCTGTTGAATTATAAAAAATTAAATGGTTTTAATTGTGATATAATTGGTATGTATTCAGAATTTATATCATAAAATCAAATCATAATACAACGTTTTAAAAATGATTTATAATTCAACTTAAATATAATCACATTTATTTTCAATTAAAAAGAATAAAATTTGAAAGACTGTTTGTACATTAATTGTGTTTATAAATTTAACATTTATAATCTATACATAGACAACTTACTATAGTACATAACATAGTAATATACAAATGTATTATTAATTAAAAATAAGACTTGGACATCATGTTTTTATTATCATCATTATTTAATAACACTTTTGAAAATAAAATTTGAATTAAAATGATTAGTTGATTTAACCTATGGACTAATAATGTTACGTACGAATTGAGATAGAAAAACTGCAAGCCGTCTTTATCGGTAACCTGTATTGTTGTAAGGTCTTCAATTGTAGTAGTGTTAGGATTTTTCCAAAAATCCCAAAGTGGTATATTCGATTGATTTGGTATTACTTTCGATTCTAAATAATGTATAAAGCTAAAATTCAAAAAGAATCAATTTAAAGTTAAAACTCAACTGTTTTATATAATATATAAATGTATTGCGATTTGATCTCTAAATTATCCCAAACAAGTATAAATATCTTATTAAATAATTAAAATATTATGTATGCTCAGTCATACACACCTATACAAAGCACGAGTTTAGTAAGAAGATGCTCATTTCGAATTCACTCGTAAAGCAATATTGATTAAACTATAACAATAAAAACAAACTCAACTCGCAGAAGAGCGATTTTTATATTTTATTAATTTTAAGACTTTGTTTACAAAAACTTTAAAAATAAATAATTTAACATTTTTATGTTTGAATTTAAATAATTATCACTCGATAGATACTTTCAATAATTTTGTTGACAAACGTGTTAAAACACACTAAATATAACATATGTGCAATTTAATTGATTTATCTGTTGTTTAAGTCGTATAAATTAATTAGATTTGCATTGTTAAAATAAATACCTATTACCTAACTATTATTTAAAAATAAAATAATTATTTACTAATATATTTATGTGAATATTTATTTTTGAACTGAGAAAACAATGAATTACAAACTTTATATATATATACATTTTGTTATCATGACTGTTATATTGTTTTTTTGTTAATATTATGCAATACTAAGCATTACGTAAAGTCGATATTATTAATCAACATATTTCTGTGTGTTGCGACGTTTGATTTTATTGTAGAATCTTTGATTTATCAGGTCGCTGTGACGAATCATTTACTACAAATGGACTTAACCAATGGTTCAAAGCTTCAACACGTCTCTCAAAACATGATTGTAGTGTTCCTCATATGAAAGCAACGGTTAAATTGATAGATTTTTAACATTTATCAGTTGAAGGTATCATTGCTATAATAATTGATAAACATCATAAAATAATAGAGTTTAAATATATTACGTATTTGAAAGATATTTTAAATACTTTGCTTTTTTGTACTAGTCAAGGGATTGGTTCTCGGAGACAAAATGGACATAAGGAATTTTATAGGATTATCGCATCATTTGCATTGAGTGCAAAAAATAATTATATGATTAAACAATTTTTTATTGAAAAAGGAAAAAAATTGAAAATCACATTTATTATTATCCTTTATAAACATTATAATTTGTGATATCATACAGCTAAACAGATATTATATAAAATATTTTATGGCCATACTCATACAGTCATACAGCTGTTAAACATAATATATTTTAATTAAAATACGAGTCAGGACACAAACAAAATTGGATCTACATACCCATGGTTAATGTTAGGAATTTTTAAAGTTTTTAATCGTAACTTGGTGCTTTAACTTAATATTCAGTAAGTAACATCAGAAGACGGAACTACATGTGTAGAGTTTTGTAGTACTCATTTTTACATTGATACAAATCTTGGTAGATGTAGGTAATTTAACACCTGAAGAAAGATCCATGATTGCACGTAACTCTATACTTTACACTATCTGTTATTGTAAATATAAATAAAGGATAAGTGTTGCTGAGTACCTATTGTTATAGATAGTTTGTTTATTTTTCAATTTACACAATAACATAAATATAAATTTGTTGTACCAATCAAACAGTGTTGTGCCATAGCTAAATTTATCTAGATAGGGTATCTAGATAAACTAGATAAAAAATAAAATGTTCATCTTATTTTCATCTATATAGATGAAAATATTAGCCATCTAGATAAATTATTTAGATAATTCACAAAATCCGTTAACTAATAAGTAATAACTATTTTACAATATTATTTTATTCAATATAAAATGAATAACTAAATAAGTAATTAATTTGTATTATTTGTAAAAATTGGTTTAAAATAGTTTTATATGGCATTTATTGAATAATGACGATTTATTATGTATATATCATGGAAGGTAAGAGTTATTTATAATTTTATAATATGGCCTATACAAGAAGTCTCATGCCCATTAAAAAAAAAAAAAAGAAAACGTCAATAAAGCCCATAATATAGTTATTTGTCGCAACAGCTGCAGTTGAGTGGTGAATTGCGGATGATATATAAATACCAAGTAAACAATAAATAATTGTCGATAAGAAAATAGCAATAGTATAATATTTAATAATACGCTGTATACAAAAATTTATTGAAATCTCGTACGGCATGCAGTGCACATTCATTCAAATGTGGTCAGTTTTTACCGTCTTCATTTTTTTATACTTTTGTTTATGACTGTTTTAATTTTATTGGTGAAATATTTTATATTTTGTAATGGATCGTTGTATTATACAATCATTACCTAAGAGCAAAAGAGTTCGTCAACAAACGAATGAAAACGTTTGTTCAAGATTTACTATGATTATCGTTTGCATGCGATAAGTTCGTCGACTTCTTCCTCTCTTGTATATATGGCATCAACGTCTTTGACCACCGCTATCCAAAGGAAACTCACTCTCTAGTCTCGTTCGACATGGTCGAGACTTTGCCCTTAACCATGGTCCATGTGTGCCGTTTTATCTTGTGCCCGTTGCGTCGTGTGTTTTTGCATCTAACAAAGACTTTGACCTTTTAGGTCGTTGCACCCTTATTTTATTATAACTTTTGTGCCGTCGTTGTATCCGTCGCGCACGTCGCTCTTGCCGTGCATACATTAATATATATATATATATATATATTCCTATTATTTCATGAGGGCGTAAAGATCGAGAATTGGCATCAAACAGTATAATCCATACCGGTGTTCCAACGGAGATTTCCACGCGATCACGTTGTTCGAGATCCAAGTCGTTGATATAGGTGATATCCATGATTTATTATTATTGTTTTATTATCATTTGTGTTTTGCATACCGATTATTATTACTAATTCTTGTCACATTATTTGGGCGCCCTATTTTTTACTATTATTATTAATTTAGTACATCAATATTTCTAATATATAATATATTATAGCACGACGCGCGACGGTGCGTAAAACAAATTTGTTTATATTTATTTTTGGTCACCGGTCCTTTTTATAAGTCTCTTTATTATTATAGTTGTTATCGATATAAATCTCTGGGTATTATTTTCTTTTTTTATAATATTTTCTCATCACCATTTAAGGCCAACCGCCATCCCCGTAGGAGCCTTTGTGGTACAACATTGATGATGCGATAATTGGTACGGACGTTTCACCATCATCGTCGACAGAAAATGTACCACACAATTTTTCAAAATTTCAATATTTATTTGACGAATTTTATAAACTGGTGTCGACCAATGGTGATAAAATAATGGCATCTTATGTAAACTGTCATAAAATATAAGTGCGTCAACCAAGTCGAGTGGCAACTTATAAAGCTATATTAAAGAAAGTTATTTAAACAAATTTTTTTTTTTAATCCAAACAATGTAATTAATTTCTTATTAGTTCTTACGTAACAGTAATATTATATCTCAATTTACAAGAAGTCAAGGAATATTTACATATTATTATTAAGAATAAAATATCAAAATGTATCATATTTTGCATATATGATTTAGATACCAAATTCCCACCTATGATTATAAGTTATAACAATTACCTACAATTATTATTAATTAATGTTAGCATGGACTGGGTACCTGTTAGGTAAAATATTTATCGATGAATGAAATTTAATGTCTTCTTTAATTTTTATAAATTCTGACTCTGCTGATGACAGTGATAATATGAGTGATAAAGAGTTTTATTGTAATGTATGTGATAAAAATTCGAATCATAATTTTCCAGATGAAGAAAAATAAATGTACTAGTATTAAAATATTTATTCAAAAAAAAAAAAAAAGAGCTATTAAACCGTATTAATACATGTAATTACCTTTCTAGTTTGAATTTCTAATGTCACATATTATGCACTATTATAATTTATAACTCTGTTATATTTAGATTCTAAAATGCTTTACAAATTTTAAAATTGAAAAATATAAATAATTTCATTACATTTTTGTATTAATTATGATACTATTTCGCATTTTTATGTTTCTTAATATGTTTTGTATTGCTTAATATTGTATGGTTTTAATTAGATAAATCCATGCGATTAGTGTTGTAAAAATATAATACATTTTACTACATTCAAGAAATTTATTATAACTACATGAATATTAATTTTGGATAGAAAGTATTTGTGTATAGTTTTTCATGTATTTACTTTTCAGTTAAAATATCTGAAGGAGCTTCACTGGAAAAATATTAGATGACATAAGTTTATGATATACATTAAGTTCAAACTTTAACAACTAAAAAAGCTCTATGGAATACTATAATAGATTTTAATTTGTATGAAGGTCGTCAGCACTTGCCTGGCTTTATTAATGTGAATATATGAATAAATCAAATGAATTTTCAATGAAGAACATGCTGTTTTACATTACAGTCTGGATAAAAAAAGTATGTATTGGTAATATCTACAAATTTTCAACTTCAATTGCTTCTACGTTTTGAAACCGCCATGTTGTGTCGTTACCGCTCCTACAAATATGGCGGCCTTTACTCGCGATGTATTAGGACGTAAGGCTACCCACCGGTTAATATGAACAGTAATGGAATTTATAGCGTCATGCGCACTAAATTATAATAAAATATAAATGCAAACATACTTAGATATAAATACAAATAATAATAATAATGGGTGCCCGAAATGATCACAATAATAAAAAAAAAATTAATATATTAGTAGCAAAACAAATGCTCCACCCGTATGAGGAGGCTAATAACACAAAATTAAAGGTTACCAATGATCACGACTGCGATGAACACGGCGGTTGACGATCGCAGGAAATTGAGACTGAGTCTCTACCTGACTCCTACATGCTGGTAAAACGACAGCGGCTTGAGACGAACGCGCCTAATGACGTTCAAGTCTAGAGCAAAGATGATGACACACGCGACAAGGTTACTGTTATATATCATCAACATTTTCCCAACTATGTAAAATAAGTCTACAGCAAAAACATTCAACAATATCTATTTTCCCTGAATTTATAAA